GTTGAAAAATATATATTCTTATGCTTGTTAATATCAAATGTGGTTAACAATTCATTTTCTGCAAAATATATGGGTGAGAGAAAACACTGGTATCCATAATCAAACGTAGGCTGGCTTAAGTTCATATTTGCAAATTAAGCAGAGAAATTTAAGTAGTGAGGAGGACGGCTATTTAAAATCACCTCTCATAGCACTTGGCAAACCGAAACTCCCCCTACCCTCAGCAATAAAGATGTTAAAAGAAATAATAATGATGATCACGAGAATGGTTCATAGTTCTTATGTGCTTACTAAATGCTAGGCATCGTATTTAAAAGGTATTGTTTTGTTTAACCCCCACAACACCCTAGAGATGGGTATTATTATTACTCTTGTTTTACAAGTGTCACTGGAAACTGAGGTTCCAGAAAATTCTATTTGCTTAGACTCCAGAATCCAATGACTTACATATATCCTCCAGAGTTTGCTTAGCACCAGAGGTCAAGTTTACTTTCAAGATTGCGCATAATGGTGAAGTTAAAGCCGCTCAGTCATGTCCAACTCTTTATGACCCCATGGACTATACAGTCCATGGAATTCTCCAGGCCAGAATACTGGAGTGGGTAGCCTTTCCCTTGTTCAGGGGGTCTTCCCAACCCAGGGATCACTCCCAGGTCTCCCACATTGCAGGTGGATTCTTTACCAGCAGAGTAAAAAGCTCGGATTTTACTCTTCACAATGATTCCACGTGAAGAAATTCATGCATTATTGCCAAAATAAATGGAAAGACATCCTAAATTCATGGACTCAAAGGTTCACTATTGGAATGGCAACATTCTCCAGACTGATCTACGGATTCAAGGCAATCCTTACAATTTCAGCTGGCTTCTTTGCAGAAATTGACATGTTGATCTTAAAATTTACACAGAAATTAAAGGGACTCAGAATAGGCAAAACAACCTTGAAATACAAGAATCAATTTAAGGGGTCGGGGCTTCTTTTGTGGGTGATAAAACTTCTAAAATTGACGGTATTGATGGTTGTGTATCTCTGTGACTACTCAAAACCACTGAATTGTAGACTTAAATAGGTGAGTTGTATGCTATCTGAATTACAATCTCCATAAAGCTTAAAAGAAGATGGAAAAACAATTTTAAAAAATATGTACATATATAGAACTGTAGAGAACTGTAAATTCAGAGTTGTGTATATTGTTTCCAACTTAACTTTAGTTTCAATGGTTAGAATCTCACCCTAAATTGGTGTGCATTACAATCTACAGGTAACATAGGGACTGTCAGAGAAAATATGAATATATATAATGTTCCCTTTCAAATAATGTCTCTAGATTACTAAATTAGTAGATGACTCTACTAAATTTTAAAGAAAAAAGTAAATATCTGAAGAAAGTGGGAAGAGAATTCTCAAAGACCTATACTTTAGCAATATTCTGGAGAGTAATATTTTTTCTTAAGCAACAAGTGACAGAGCAGGTATAAATAAGGCCATGAAATCTGTCTTCATAAGTAAGAAATTCATCTTTTTATGATGGAACAATGAATTACTTAATGACCTAAATGTCAAGTGTACAAAGTCAAAGATCTTGAATTCTAGAGAAGACAGGAATATTCAATATAAAACCCAAAGTGTTGTTAGTAAATAGTGAGTTGAATTATAAACATACAGACTGCTTACATCAAAGGTTTACACTTTATATTCTGTATATATTTGTAATATATACAAGTACACAGTATATACAGGTACTATGTCTATTATTTACCACCTTACTTATACATACACAGAACCTCTTGCTTTCCCTGAACTCATTAGTGTTTTTATTTTATTATAATTATTTTTTGTATTTTGTATCTCACTTGATTCAGAATAAAGCAAAATATCCCAGACATTCTTAAGCACTGTTAAACCACTGGGTTGGGCAACAGAAATAGTAGCATAATTTATATCCCACACATTTCCTAATAGCATTTTTAAAAGATAACATGAGCATTTACAATAACCTAGAATATAACAGCTAGAGAAAACCCAATACAGCTATTGACCTGTTCCCAACACTGTGGTAAAAGTTCAGCATCAACACGTGTGGGTCCAACGTGATGTGCAAATGCCACACAGCCCATCAGTATCATTTGCCTGAAATACAGAATTAATGGATGTAGACTAGCATTTGCATTAGGAAGCACAACTAGGACTAAGGGTTAAAAAGAGTCAGCTCAAATTATCATGGAGTACAACTATTTTTGTACAATCAAATTTGACTTTTGACTTTTCCCAGTAGATACACTGCCCCAAGGGAGTGAGTTTCTTAAGACTAGTCCTTCCAGCAACAGCAACACCATTTGAGAGATGTTGTGAAGAGATTCTCTACTGCTGTAAAGCTGAATCTCCTAAATTAACTTCCCATATATATAACGCATTCTGAGATTATGTTTAATGCTTCCATTTCTAATGAATTTCAGTTTCCAGTCACTAAATCAATCTATGATTACTTTCCCATATTCCTATAATTCAGTTTCCCAGGTGGCACAGTGGTAAAGAATCCACCTGCCAATGCAGCAGATCCAAATGACACGGGTTCGATCCCTGGGCTGGGAACGTCCCCTGGAGGAGGAAATGGCAACCCAGTCCAATATTCTTCCCTGGAAAATTCCACGGGCAGAGGAGCCTGGCACGCTACAGTCCATGGGGTTGCAAACAGTCGGACACGACTGAGAAGACAGATTTCTGTAATTAAAAACTATGATACCGTATTAGTAAAATGATACTTAAGTGAGAATTTTTGGTATGGAACCCAAGATAACTGTGGTAGGCAGCTTCTGACATGACTCCTAATGAGGTCTGTCTCCCGATAGTCATGCCTATGTGTAATCCCACCTTGGTGAGTGTAGACTGGACCCAATGATTTGCTTCTAATGAACAGAATAATGGCCAAAGTGATGGGATGTAACTTATGAGATCAGGTTACAAAGGCCTGTGACATCCATCTTGTGAGACAGTCTTTTCTGCCTTCTCCGCTGGCATGCTCTGAAGACACTACCACGTTGAATGGTTTCATGTGGAAAGAAACTGAAGGCAACTTCTGGCTATAAGTCAGACTTAAGAAGTAGTCAGATTCCACAACTGCTCATCATCTGGCCTCTTGATCAAATTGAAAAGTATGTGGAGAAGCTGGTCTCCCTCCTTAGGCTCAGGATGCAGGCAGGCTGCACACAATATGAGGGGGGTCCACTCCTAAAGAAACAACGAAAGTGGAAAAAGTCAAAGTAAAAATGCATTGCAGAATATTCTTTTCCCCCCAAAGTATTCATAAATGGAAGTTTTAAATGAAATAAACCTCAACATAGAGAGGAGAATATTTTTATTTTGTAAGGCTGATAATTCAAGAGAAAAACATAAACATAGTTATGGAGTGATTGTGCAGAAGGTGCACATCACAATGCAATAAAGTAACTTACGATTGAGCTCACCTTGTTTTCTCATCCAATACTTCCCAAGGGTCTATTACCTTTTACACTAAGTAACATTTTATCTTACTATAAGCTGATATAGTAGTTTAAGTTTTGAAAGTGCTTTTACATAAAAACTTGCAGAAGTTAACTATATTTTAAAACCTAAAATGAAGAACAGAAAATAAAGATAACCCTTTGTACTTCCATAAGCACAGTAGGATCAGAAATAATTAATAATTTTATACCCTTAGCACCTAACCTAGTGGCTAATTAAAAAGACCATCTTCACAGGTGCTGAAAGCTCTCCATAAAATATCCATAAAAATATCTGCAGAAATGTTCTATTTTGAAGTGAAAATTTTAAATATTTTGTTCCACTTTCAACACACAGAGGTAAATTTAGTATTTTCAAGGAAACAGACAAGAGTTTATTTCTCTTTTACAAAGTATTTGAAAATTAATGTTTTTTCACATTTTAATTAAACCGAGGCAAAATCCTAAAATACATTTCAAAGATATTAACGTTTTTCACTTCTGAAGTAGATCTGCAAATCTAATGAAATAAAAGCTCAAAAGTGATAAAGTATTTTTTGGAGAGAAATCCTCTAAGGGGTTTTGCAGATATTTTCAAGAAATCACCATGATATAATAAAAAGGGTAGAATGATTATTCTCATTTATTTTTCCCACCTACCTCCCTACCCACCAAAAAGTACTAGCAGATTTAAAATAGGAATCAATCACTATGTACGCATGCATGACACTTTAAAGAAAAGTCTACATCATTCTGAAGATGCTCCCTTAGAAACAGATGATATGCTTTTAGAGAAGTTGAGTCTGAAACTAAGGCATGACTAGAAGTCCTTTCCATTATTTCTAATGTCTTACATATATGATGTTAAATTAGAATTACTCAATATAAACCTAAATTCAAAGCACAAAGATGTAGATAAGAAGAGGAAAAACAAATCTGAGAAGCAAAAACAAATCTAAAACACTTATTCCGCCATCTTTCAATGGCAACCCACTCCAGGGTTCTTGCCTGAAGAATCCCAGGGACAGGGGAGCCTGGTGGGCTGACGTCTATGGGGTCGCACCGAGTCAGACACGACTGAAGTGACTTAGTAGCAGTAGTAGTAGGTTTTAGATTAGTGAATAACTGAAAAGTGGGGAAAATAATTTTGCACTGGGAATGGAACAGTATATGTATGGGCCCTTGTATTTTGATGTTTTCCAAAGATGCTTACTCTGAGGCTTGATGGGTGAGGACCATTAATACCAGGATCCTTAAAGAACTCCACTGAGATTGCTAAGGGCCAGTGATACTAGTGAGAGGACTGGGATGACACATAAGCACATTCCACTGAAAGTAAAAGTTTAAGGATGAAAAGGTAGTTATTCTAGAAAGTACTAACAAAAAGAGAAAATATTTTAACGCCTGAAAAATCAAAAAGGCCCTAAATATTTAACTTGTACTTTTCCCTCACGGCCGATCTTTCTCTCCCATGGGTTTTCTTGCTTTCCCCTAACCCTTCTTCCTGCTTCCCAATCATCTCCAAATATTCACTCTTAAACTGTCTGACTCTACTCTCTTCCTATTGCATTACTCTTTAAAGAAATAAAGTTATGAACTGTAAGTAAGATACCGCTCTAACTGCAACTACATGCATACACCCTATGTTTAAAATGCAGAATAGTTCGTTTCTTTATCTTAAAAACAGGTATACCAAAATAACTGTGTTACTGTTTACTTTTGGTGCCTTACATTTTCTTTCCCTTTTTCCTTTTTTTTTTTAAACCACGAGACTTAGTGATCCTTATTAAAAGAGGAATTTATGTTATACATTACTGTAATGAATCTTTCAACTGGAACGTGGCTACAGATGTGCCAAACCAGGAACGCTAAACTCGGAGTTCAAAGAGCTCCTGTCTCAAAACTCCTCAGTACCAAAGAACCCAGTGAAAACCATGAACCTGAGTTTTTATCTCTTCAACTGAAACATACAGGCATTAAGCTGAGTACAAAAATCAAAAATACATATGTTTTATCATTTTCTTATCTATTGCTAATAAGATTGTTAATTTTCCTTTCTGAGATCAAAGCTGGCCTCAAAACCCTTCTCAACACAGCAGCCATTACCGATCAATCCAAACGGACACATAGAAAAGGAAAAAAAAAGTCAGTCCTTGTCTCCCTGAACTCTAAAATTCTGTGAACTTAGGGCGTTAGAGAAATGTTCTTCCACTTTTCTCAATCACAGTTAATAATAATTTACACTGCCATCTGTTTTTATTTCTTGCTGGCTAAAATAGCAAATGTGGGACGTCAGTGCCAATACACTTTGGTCGATACTCTACGCCAAGGAGAACTGGGGACATCCTGGCACCTTGATGGCTATGGCAGTTATGAAGTGTGCCAGATGGCTTCCTCTTCCTGAGCATCGCTAAGCTGAGAAGAGGTCCGTCCAGAAGGTGATGGTAGGAAAAAGTGGAAGCTGTAGTCTGTTTGTGACAGAGCCATCAGGACTTTAATTACTAAGTTATGACCAACTTCAAATATCCTAATGTCTTCTTCCTCTGTCATTCATTTAATCACAACTTCTAGTTATACCACTCTTCAAATAATGAATTCTGTAAGTACATTATCTGCTGTGCTGCCCATCTTACTTCTTGTAAATTCACCGTTTTCAAGCCTCTGACCTACTAGTCTATCCACAAGACTCTATTTAGGATTTTCACACTACAGTTGACCCTTGAACAACACAGGTTTGAACTGTGCTGTGGGTCCACTTATATGAAGTGTGTGTGTGCTTAGTCACTCAGTCATGTCTGACTCTTTGCAACCCCATAGACTATAGCCCGCCAGGTTCCCTTGTCCATGGGTATTCTCCAGGTAAGAATCCTGGAGTGGGTTGCCATGCTCTCCTCCAAGAGATCTTTCTAACCAGGGATCAAACCCAGGTCTCCTGCATTGCAGATGGATTCTTTATGGTCTGAGCCACCAGAAAAGCCCAAGAATATTGGAGTGCATAGCCCATCCTTTCTTCAGGGGATCTTCCCGACCTAGGAATTGAACCAGGGTCTCCTTCACTGCAGGCGGATTCTTTACCAGCTGAGCTACCAGGGAAGCCCACTTATATGCAGATTTTACCGCATAAATATGTACTACATTACTACACGGATTTGTGATTGGCTGAATGTAAAATTATACTTGGATACTGAACTGTGCCGTGGTCAGCACACATAATCTGTGCACTGTTCAAGGAAGGGTCAATGCTATGCATAAATGTATAGGTTTGAATCAATATTCTCCCATTGGCATAATCATCTCCAACTGAAGAAATCTAGTGTTTAAAATAGTTTCCTTATAATTCTAAATAAAATATTTAAAAACTGGCATCTAGATTTTCAGAAGAAAATGTGACAGTGGTTTTAAAAACGTCTTTGAATAATAACTATGGCAAAAAAATAAAGCTTTGATAAACATGATATCCAAAAGGAATCCCTTGCCTACCCTGCATAAAAATGTTAGAGTCCATATTTCAAAGCAACAGACATTTTAGATATTTTCAAACATGCTTTATCAGTTAACGTGTACTGAAGTGAAATATAAAACTGACCTCCTACTGATCTTTAGAGAGGAAATCATGTAGTAATCCAATTACAGAAGGTATTCCAGCAGTTTCTTACCATGGACACTAGGAAAGATATTTCTAAGGCCTTTAGAATTCATTACTCTAAAATACTTAGTAATCTGCACTTTACTCAAGTAAATGAATTTTGCTTCACCTGGTTTTGAAGTAAATGGTTTCTGCCATTTTGACACTAGTTCCCTCCATGTGAAGGACCTCCCACCCTTCCTATGAAATTTTGTACAGAATTAAACAGGAAAGGCTGCCAGTATTTTTCTTTCATGTTGACAAGTAAAACAAAATAAATTCTAATGATAATAAATAAATAATTTTCAAGGTAGTAAATGTCTTCAGAGATGATTACGTTTGATTTAATAAATACTTTTACTTGACTTTCTCAGTCTTTAAAGGTTAGTATGTGTTCAGACTACAAAAACAGAAGAAAAATAGTACCTAAACAGGATCTAAAACAATGTGAGTGATCAGATGTTAAAGGGAAAATATA